TAACCTATAAATAGTGCCTCTATTCCTCATCTTTGATCAATCAATTTGAGAATTTATTTCTTCTCTCTTTTCTCGTGTATGTCTCTCTGGTGTCTCTATCCTTAGTTTTTAAAAAAATATATATAAAGACCAATAACTACTTAACATTCTGTTTTCTTTCTCGCAATATATTACAATATATTGCAATGCCATAATCACGCAACAAATCATGAAAGCAAGTTTCAAGCCGTTGTATAACACCGATATGTTCTAAATGCCTTGAAATAAATCAAGAGAGTCAAAAGGAACACCAAAAAATAAAGGCCAATACTACTTAACATTCTTTTCTTTTTTTTCCTTGCAATATATTGCAATGCCAGAATCAAGCAGCAAACCACAAGTTTCGAGTTATTGAATAATACCGATATGTTCCAAATGCTTTTAAATAAATCAAAAAGAGTAGAAGGAAAAAAAAAATTACAAGCCAATAACTACTTAACATTCTATTCTTTCTTGCAAATTTCAATGCCAAAATCAAAGAACAAATCAGAGAAGCACAAGTTTCAAGTGGGAAACGGCGACTACAGAGACTGCAACTGCCGCGACCGCAGCCACCCAAGCCGGAGAGGGCGAGGCGGAGGAGGCAGTATATGAAAACTGGGGAGCCGCACCTGAGTTCGCCGTCGCCTGAGGTGGAGTTCGCCGTGAAGGACCGATCTCTCGCCGGAGTGCGCCGTCGCCTGAAGCTGGGAACTGCAGAGATTTTGTTTTAGGTTGAAGGAAGGTCCGTTGTGTTAGCTTTCATAAAAAGGGCAATTTAGACATTTTCCCTCTAAAATGTCCTAACAGTCTAAGGAATAAAAAAGTGGCCGGGAATCCTAAAGTTCCTATCTTATTATCTTAAATATTTTTTTAACGATCACATATTTTTCTTCTTAAAAAAAAATATAATTTAATAATATGATAAATAAATTTCACCTCCTATAACATTAATTATGTAATTATCTTTTGAAAAAAATATTAAAATTAAAATGAAATTTATAATTAGTATTAATAACTTTCTTTTAAAAAAGAGTTTTGACTTCTACCAAATAACATAAAAAATTAATATATGCAGAATTAATATAAAAAAACAAAATATTAAATTAATAAAAATAAATTTATTATAAAAATGGATTATATTAAATTAATATATAAATTATATTAATATATTAATAAAGGCATTTTTGGAACGATTACATAAATTTAAAACATTCCAAGAATAAATCTTCCAAAAAAAGATGTGGCTATTCAAATATTCTCAGATATTTTTATAAATTTTCATGCAGAACAAATATGGCTATCTAAAGATGTTGGACATCCAAAATTCCAGCATCTAAAATTTCAGACGGGTATCTACATTCCCGAAAAACAAACGGCCCCTTAGTTCAAGGTTTCAAAAAAGATGCATGAGATTAAGATGCTTGGGATTAAGATACCTGAGAAACAAAGATAAGTGTGTTTGGTTGTATATATGTGCAGGATTAAGATGTATGAAAATATATATATATGTTTATTTTGTGTGATTACTCTAGAAATATGCATTTTATGTGATTGTAAATATTGATTAATAACAAATCAAATTTAAATCAAAAAATAAATGATGTAAATTAAATTATTTTATATTAGCATTCTAAATTTTAAATTAACAATTTAGCTATATTGACAATTTAGCACAATGATAAATTGAATAATTAATATTAAATGTTATTTAATTAAAATTCAATATATTCATTTTAGCAAAATGATATATTTGTATAAAGCTTTAAAATCAATCAAAATTAAACTCCCAACAGTTAATTTAGATTAATTAATTTATCTTTATTAAGTTAAAATAATTATTATTTAAAAAAATATGTTTTAATTTAAGTTTCACTCGTTAATAAATATATTATAAATAATATATCTTAATTTATGCTGTTGGTTTTATTTAGCAATCAATGTTAATAATTATCATTTTATGTGTTGGACAAAATTAATCATTTTCATCTTATTATTGCATCAATTATATTTTTTATAAAAAAATTAAGTATACATTTTAATAAATTAATTTATTACAATAGAATAATTAGTTTAGTACATTATCGGTAAAATTTTAATGTTGTTTATTAATTATAAATTAAATTTAAATATTTTAATTAATTAATTTAAATAAAATAAAGTAAAAAACATTAAAATAATAATTTATTTAAAAGAAGAAAGATAAGAGTCTGACACAAAACCCATGGACAAACCCATGAAACTGAGAGGGAAAAGAAAACTCTTGTCCATGGGAATAAAGGATACTTGAGAATAATCTATTCCCAAGAAACATTTTCAAATCGGGTTTTACTTGCTCATGCCCATTTCCATCTAGAAAACTCCCCAACGAAATGGCCCCTTAGGGTTTTTGGGCTGACTAGCCCTTTTTTCAGAACAAAAATGGTTTTTACCATTCTTTAAAAAATTCAAGCTTTCTAATCTTATGCTTATGTCATTTTTTTGAAATTAGGGGTGAAAGGATCCAAACCTGGTCGGTTTGGTTCGGTTATGTTAAATATTGATTCGACTCGCTCCGGATCTAACCAACCAATTCGTTTTAAAAATTTTACCCTACTTTTTCTTTGTCACTTATTTCTTTCTAATTTCCAGCTACCTCCCTTCCCTCCCCCACTCCCCTTCCTCACTTCCTTTCCCCCTCTCTCAGGTGGTAGTGATGATGCTGACTGGCGGCAATGACGATGATAGAGATTTACAGCAGCGGCAAAAGAGATCCATGGCAGCGACGAGAGAGACGCCACCTCCCTTTTCTTTCATCTCTTCCTTTTTATTTTGAAGATGAGTTTTATTCAAGGTAGATTTTGATGGAGGTCTCTAATTTCTTATTTTGAAGGTAGGTTTCATTTTGAGTGTGGGTTATTTGATTTTGAATTTTGGTTTTGATGTATTTTGAAGGTGGATTTTATTTGGAAGTTGGGTTTTGATGTATTTTGAATAAGGTGGGTTTTGATGGAAATCTCAGCGGGTTCGATCTTGAAGGAGGTGGATTTCTATGGAAGTAGATTTTGATTTGAAGATTGGAATGTGAGTTTTTATTTTGTTTGAAGGTGGGTTTTGAGAGGAAGAAAGAGGAGGAAAAATCAAAATCTACTTTTTTTTCTTCTTCTTGATCTGCAATTGAAATAACCCATTAGTTTACAAGAGAAACAAAAACAAACCCAAAATCTGTGGATCTTTTTCTCTCTATTTTGTTTGACTTCTAAGAAACTAGAAGGAAAAAAACAACCTTTTTGGCTTACCGATTGAAAATTTTTTTGGGCTTATGAGGTTTTGAAGGGTGGGAGAACATTTTTGGCTTATCGATTGAAGACTTTTTTGGGTTTCTGAGGGTTTGAAGGGTGGGAGAGCGTAAATTAAAGAGACAGAGAGAAATAAAAAAAAAACGACATCGACCCTACCCGAATCGACCAATTTACACCTGTAAGATTTATTAAAATCCAAAATTCAAATTCAATTTGAATTTGAAATGGGGGAGCAGTTAAGTAACTGTTCCTCCCCTAAAATCCCTCATCTCTCTCTCACTGTATCAGAATGTGTATGTGTGATACGTGGGGTGGGAGGGTCTTTGAGAAAAAGCCACAAAGAGAGAATTTGGTAGTGAGATTTTTTATACCCGAGAGAACACAGAGTTCTACTATCTCAAATTCTTCACCACTTGAAGAATTCAGGTTGTGAAACGTGAGATTTTTCCATTCGTGATTGATCTCCGATCGCTACTTGGTTTTTGTGGATTTCGCTGCGACACTACAAAAGGTTAGTATTCAACCCAACGAAAAACCCAACATTGGTATAAGAGCATTGGTTCCTACAAGTTGAACATGCGGAATGGATGCACTCTACTTTTGCATGATGTGTTGTATGCACCTGATATTCGGTGAAATTTGCTTTCTGTTACTGTTCTCCTTAAACTTGGTTACACATTTACTTTGACTGAAAACTTATTAACTTTGCCTTTGAACAGTATACTATGTGGTTATGGTTTCATATTTAATGGTTTTATTGTATTGGAAATTATGCAAGTTTTTCTCTTATAACATCATCTGTTGATGCAAATGTTGACATGACTATGTTGCATGCTAGATTAGGTCATATAGGTCAACATAGAATGATTAGATTAGCTAAAGAAGGTTCATTAGGTCAATTTGACAAAATAGAATTACCTTTATGTGAAAGCTGTCTGGAGGGAAAAATGACAAGAAAACCATTTGGTAAAGAAACTAGGGCCGAAAATCCATTGCAATTTTATGGAAGCACATATTTTACTACTTTCATAGGTGATTTCACACGTTATGGTCATGTTTATTTGAATTCTCACAAGTCTGAAGCATTAGAATGTTTTAGAAAATTTGTAAACTTGGTGGAAAATCAATTAGATAAAAAGGTTAAGGTCTTAAGAACTGATCGAGGGCGTGAATATCTATCTAATCAGTTTAGGTAGCTATATGACGAAAAGGGTATAATAAGGTAGCTAATTACTCATCGAACACCACAATAGAATGGAGTAGCTGAAAGAATAAATATAACTTTTCTTGAAATGGTCAGGTCAATGATGACTCAAGTGAAATTGTCAATCACCTTTTGGGGTGATGTTCTATTGACCGCTACTTATAATCCTTAATCACGTGTCTTCCAAATCTGTTGCTTCCACACCCTATGAGTTATGGACTGGTAGAAAACCCGACCTTAGTGGTCTAAGGCTATGGGGTTGTGCTGCTTATGTACATGAGTCATCACATCCACATGGAAAATTAGGTCCAAAAGGTAAAAAAGAGTATATTTATAAGATATTAAGAACATTAAAAAAGGTATGGTGTATTCATTGGTGAACAAGAAAGTGAGAGTGTAACTGAATTTCAATCACGAGATGCTACTTTCTTGGAGAATAATTTTTCAAGGAGAGGTGAGATCAGTGATGAGATATCTCTATTTGAAAATTATAATCAAAATGATTTGCTTTCATCAAATCCATCGTGTGATAGTCTCAATACTGTACGAACAGTATCTCATCCAAGTAGGAGATATCTGAACACTACATGTGATTTGGACGAACCACAAACCACTCGTGACTCAATTGATCAGTTGTCACGTGATTCAATGGAATCAACATGTGAACAATTAATAGAACCACAAATAAGGCGTAGTAATCGTGGTAGAATACCAAAACGTCGTTTTGATGATGAAATTTATATGATTACACCCGATGATGATGAAGAACCGAGAAGTGTTCAGGGAGCTCTTCGATGCCGCAATAGAGCGAAGTGGATGAAAGCAATGGAAGAAGAAATAGAGTCAATGAAAGTTAATAATGTTTGGGAGTTAATCGATCTCCCAAAATGACGCAAAGTAATTGGCAACAGGTAGATTCTTAAGATTAAGCGCAAGGCTAATAACTATATTGAAAGATATAAAGCTCAACTTGTAATAAAAGGATCCACACAACAGGAAGAAATAGACTATGATGAGACTTTCTTACCTGTTGTGAGGTTTACCTCTATAAGGCTCATTCTAGCCATAGTCGCCGATTTATATTTGGAATTACATCAAATGGATGTGAAAATGACATTTCTAAATGGTGAATTAGAAGAACAAATTTATATGCAGCAATCCATCGGTTTTGTTATTGAAGTACAAGAAGATAAAGTATGTAAATTAATGAGGTTAATTTATGGCCTTAAACAATCTTCGAGACAGTGATACATCAGGTTTCACTAAGTAATCATCTCATATGATTGATGCGGACTAG